TGACAAGGTAACGGCATTGCCCCTCCATCCCTCTCTGCAACGGAGTAATCTCGGAAGACACGAGAGTTTGATCTAATCGCAACACAACGCCTCTTTGTGCCGTTTAGTACCTTTATGGGCCAAGCTCTCCTACCATGTAGTGTGATGTATCGACTCACTATCATAACAGCTGGAATCGACTATCAGATACTGTTGTCGTGTGTGAACATGGACGGGATACATTGATTCGGGTTCGTTCAATATAGCTTGACATGTCTTCCGCCTGTCTTTACTTCGGCATCGTGCCATCCACACAGATGGAAGTTCGATACTGATTGATGACTGAAGCTTAGCATACGAAAAGCAATCCTTGTGAGATATACGCCACGCCATCACAAGCAGCGGTAGCAGCAAAATACATCTTCGCTCCTGGTCACCTGTACGTCAGTCCAAGGAACGATATTAATAACCGATTATAAGGCGCCTGTGGGGGTTTCCAGGAAGCAATGACGGTTTCAAAACCAGAGAAGAACTCGGCAGCCTCGTAATCACCTGTCGGAATCTGCTCGGCTCGGTAGTTCATGTGACCTAGTGAAATCCTACATATTGACAAGGCCATTGTAGCGGATGATCCGCATCTCCCCAAGCCATGGCTGGCTGGAAAGACAGGTTTCTCGCTAGATTTGCAAGACTGTGGACGAAAGTGGTATATGCAGAGGATTTGGGAAGACGACCCTGGGTTGAATAATGGTGAGCACCACAATGAAGGTCAGCAATAGTTGCGACAATTGGGCCTGCAGCCAGATGCACATGTCGCAATGCTGACCCTGTATGGAAAGGACAAGTGAGGCTTGTCTACTCCGTACCTAGGGCAGCGATCTGGCCAGGCCGCTGACTAAGGGAGCATCCACAGTAGATATCGAATAATGAATATGTTTGGCTGATTTTGCTTGCACCCATTGCTGTTCTAGACAAGCGAAAGTAGATATGACGAGAGACTATCCAGACTACGAGCGAGCGGTCTCTACCTTGTTTCTGACTCTTTGGACTGATGTCTAGACTACTCCCGGGGCTGATCACAAGCAGATCAGTAGGGCTGCAATCAACTCGGATTTGGAGCAATCCTGGTCCTACTGTCTGTCGGCTGTCAGAGCCGAAGATCTCAAAACCCCTCAACTCCCCTGTTCGATCATTGATCACCATGGTTTCCAAGGTTCCAACTGCTCTTCCTCGGTCGCTATACTGCATTTGTTGTCATATCCGATCCCTGCTGAGACCGTTGAATTTTAGTCTACTCCATGGCAGGACTGGATCAGATAGAATCCATCGGCACCACAACTCTGCATCGCGTCTATTGTCCAGTCGCAGTGGCCAAATACCCATTTCAGCCTGCCGCTTATCGATAATCCGAGTCAGCCCGAGTAGATTCGACTCCCTTATCTCTACTGACTAGTCTCCCCTCGCGTCCATACCTTGACAAGACGAGGACGATGATCGAAACTACGCAGGCCATGCTGATTTAAGGTTTAAGACAGACATATGTAGTTCCTCATTGCTTGTGGGTCGCATTTACCGCTCATTGAACAGACCGTGTGCTACGGAGTAGTTTACGGGGGGATTTCCGTCCAGTTTTGGACGCTTTCTGTTCCCCTCGACCAAGAATTCCGAACATCCGATGCGTTCAAATTCGCATCCGTTCGACCTTGGGACGTTGGAATGTTTCACATGACATAGAAAGGAGCCATATAGCAGCTCCAACCGAGCTTCCACAATTGCTCTGTCCCGCAAACGTTCCTCGAGTATGATGAAACATGGGTTGTCTGGTTCAGTCGGGGGGTTTCAGTCGGGGGGTTTTCCTGAATAAGTGAGCGGGATTTACGCCCGGGGTTGTCCCTCGAGGTCTACCATAGAGAGAGAGAGGGAGGGAGGGAGAGAGAGTTAGTATTCCAATTGCCCCCGAGTGTTCCGACTTTGGTTCCCACACCTTATTGCTGCGAAGGTGCGATCCTGCGGATCAGTGGGGCCTCGCCTCGCCTCGTGGTCGGCAGAAGTTGGAGACCACGGTCATTGCTACCTGAATAGTCACAATGACTCCAAATCGGACTCTGGACTTATTCAGCACTGAAACAATTAAACTTCGCAGGCATACATGGTTCAACAACGCTTCGGTAGTTCTGTGTACGGAGTAGGTATGCCAATTCCCACTTTTTTTCTTCCATCTTCGAAGCTGCAATATCACGCAATCTGAAGAACTGTATTACAGAACCGCCGTAAGGTATTTTTCCTTCATGTTTTGTGACCATACAGGACAGAGTCAACCTGTTGTTTCATTCCAAACTTCTTCAGTTATCAAGATGGAACGATTACTTCACCATATCCTACACGTGCTATCCTAAGATCAATCAGCTCCACACCTTGCAACGAGGCTCCCCGTTTGAGTTCATTCTTCTCCTGCTATGAACCTATTCAGGAATGATCATCACCTCGGTCTCACATGCTTTGTGGCGATGTCAATTAATCGTTTTTGGAGACCGCTGTCGAGCCTGTAGGGCTGCTCGTGGCGCTATTTGGCTCTTGACTAAGGAGTATGTAATAGTGGATGGAGTGGTCAATACAGTTGGGTGAAGCGCAGGCAATGGAACAGAGAGTTAAATCGAAACTGCCTTATGTGAAGTTTGCTTGCTGATAGGGACTTTGCTTCCGTTAGTCTCCCTTATGAGAGATAGCATCATAAGTTAACGTCCAAGAGTCAAAGCAGTGCTTGCCCCGGGCTTGCGCCAACTGCTCTTGACAAAGACACTGTAAGATTTCATCAATCAGAAGAAATTGTCTGCTACCTAGAAGTAATTGTCATTTTTAGCGACGGTACTCATTGAATCTGATACTTAAGGCCGATGAGCTTCCAGCTACTCTATAGTGAACTTACGTGCTTAGCTAAATGTTATGCTTCTGCATGCTTTGTCGAACTTAAGGTCTATTCTGTTTATGAAATGGCAGGTTATTGCTATTTCTACACTTCTGTTCATACCCTCCTTATTTATATTGCTGCATCTATATACAACCAAAAGTATTACCCGTCAGTCTCGTGATGATTGCGTCACTCAATTTGCGCCTCGTTAATGAAAGCGCGCAGAAGGTATGTAAGGCTGTAAGCGTCATGGACCTCTCCTTATGCACCCCAAGGCTCCAAAGTTAGACTAACGCCGATCTCCAGCTGAAGGGACCCATTCCCGCAATGGAATTGCATTCTACATGCTACATTGATGTCCCGCCGTCACGCTCCCATTGGCCGAATATCAGCGAGAAGGTCGAGAATTCGAATTGACAGCCAGGCGTAATTATGTCCTCCCCGCGTCCAGATATCCTGTACATACCAATGGCCAAATTCGGCAAATGGCCTACAACTAATTGTTGAGGTAAGGTACATAACAGCCTTCCCGCCCTTCTCTTTTGAAAGTGCCAACAAATCCAACTACAATCTTCGGCAATGAAGGCACATTTCGGTATCTTGCTATCGATCGCCAGTCTTGCTACGGTCACTGGCTCAGCGGGCTGTGGAAAGCCATTGCCCGAGCATCAGGGTGCCGGGGGAAGCTATCCGACGGACTTCACCACATCAGATGGCACACTTCGGTCCTACATCATCCACATTCCGTCCAACTATGACGAGAATAGAGCAATTCCACTTATCTTCTCTTTTCATGGGAGGTCGAAAACTGCCGAAAGTCAGGAGCAGCTTTCGCAATTCAGCAATGAAGCGTGGAATCCTGATGCTATTGCGGTGTATCCCCAGGGTCTTGATGTACGTGTCTCGAACTCGCACTAAGCGGTCATTAATCAATAAACACTCAGAATCAATGGCAAGGAGACCCAGCCTCTTCTGGAGTCGACGACGTGGCATTCACCATGGAAATGCTCGACCACTTCCAGGAAAGATACTGCATCGATACTTCGCGCGTCTATGCCGCCGGTAAATCAAACGGCGGGGGCTTCACAAATCTCCTAGCCTGCGATGCTACGGCCTCCAAACGCATTGCGGCATTTGCCCCCGTTTCAGGAGCTTACTACCAGAACATATCCGAGGACGCCTGCAATGCCGAGACGGTGCCGATCAAATGTAATCCCGGACGGTGGCCAATCCCAACCATCGAGTTCCACGGCACGGCCGACACAACAATCCCGTACAACGGAGGTGGTAGACGTGGAGAGTGTTTACCCTCTGTGCCACATTTTGTGCGGGAGTGGGCAAAGAGGGACGGACTCGGGCTGCAGAATCAAACTACAAGCCTTTACGACGGTAATGTCCTGGAATATCAGTATGGCTGGGAAGAGGCCTTGGGAACTGTAACTCATTATAGGATTGAGGGACTGGGTCATGATTGGCCTAGCGTAAATCCGAACAGTGACAATCCCGATGGGACTTTTCTGGATGCGACTCCCATTATCATGGACTTTTTCAGTCGCTGGACTCTGTGATAACCTTGGGATCACGGTAGATTTGATGCACCGGCAGTTCTGCGTCATAGATCCGAGCTACCAATTTAACGAGATCATGGATGTATTGCTTCAAAAGGAGTTAGCTGGGAGTTCATAGGCCGTGGAGAGTATTCATTCGTCTCATAATAATAAGCACATCGACGATCCAACTGATGTAGAGGGCTAACTAAAACGACTGTTCCCACCATCACCTATGCTTTCCCTGCCAAATGCACACAGGACGCCTTTTAAACCGCGCATCTGTCTCTAGTCCCCGTCATTCGACGACTTTTGTTTCAAGCATACGCGTCCAGGTATCCAAATCTGGGACGCGAGGAATCAATACACATTATAACACAAATGCCACATCATACACTGGGGAGCATGTAATGACAAAAAAAAGAAAAGAAAGAAAAAAGAAAAAAAGGAGAAAAAAAAATGAGAAAAAACAATAGTAATACAAGCAGGACTGACCGATCCTCGCAGTCAGCCCGTATATGTAGTCCAACGAGCAAAAATCAAGCCAAGCCTGCAGAGCCCGCACATTAGCGACGTCTCTTGCTGAGGCGGTGCTCCTTGCCCTTCTTGGACTTCTTCTTTGTCTTATCGGGGGGGAGAACAAGCGGTTCATCCTTCATGTTCCATTCCATGAAGCGCAGGAGATAGTCGTCGATATGACTGGGTTGAGGCTCGACATCCACTGTCTCATCTACGCCATGAATCTGCGGCGTGGTGATGAGCTGTGCGCCAGGTGTTTCCCCTTCCTCGGGACCAGTGGCCAACGGAGTGCCCGCCTGCCCCGGTGTATGCGAAATGCTGCGATCCCCGAAGTCGTCGTCGTCAGCCTGTTCCATCTCCTTCTGTGCGTTCTTGGCCGCATCGATATCCTCCTTGTCTTCGGCCTGCTCAAAAACCCGAGAGCCACTCGTGGTAACCCGGCTGGATAGGACGCGGTCCATGGCGGCGCTGGCTTCATCCTGCGCCTCCGCTTCCTCATTGCCCATCATGTCACGGACGTCCAGCTTGGTGAAATAGTCTGTAGTGAATTCACCCTCCTGGATGACGACATCATCTAGCATTCTCTTCTGGTTGGCCTTGCGGAGAATGTTCGTTTCAATAGTATGCTCCGAGACGAATCGGTAAATGTGGACGTCGCGCGTTTGTCCAATACGGTGGCACCGATCTTGGCATTGCTTGTCCATGGCCGGATTCCAGTCAAGATCGTAGAAGATCACAGTATCAGCGCCTGTCAGGTTGATACCCAAGCCACCGGATCGGCTGGACAGAATGAAGACCAAGATGCGATCGTCGTTGTTGAACCGGTCGGTCAGAATCTGGCGCTGCTCCACTTTGGTTGTACCGTCTAGTCGCAAATACCTGTGCCCATGGATATTGAGAAACTGCTCCAGAATGTCAAGCATTTTTGTCATCTGCGTGAATATCAAGGCTCGGTGACCACCGGCTTTAAGATCTCGTAGCAACTTATCGAGCCTTTGCAGTTTCCCACAGTCATATTGCAACAGCCTCTTGTCCGGAAAAGCGATTGAAAGACGCATCTGGGCCTCGTGGAACGGATCATAAGCAGGGAAACGCTCCTTTTCGGTCAAGTAACGGGTTTCAATAGGAGTCAAAGCCGCCTCTGTAATACCGGAGGCAACTGCAGCTGGCGTAACACAGGCGAAACGTCTGACGTAACCATCCATGGCTTGGGACCGCTCCTCGATGGACAAAATCATCGATGCGAGAACAGATGACCGATTTGACAACCACTCCGCGAGAGACTGCTTTTGAGGACGACCACTCAGAGTTGGTCTCTGCTTGCTATCCGCAGTGAGAAACTCGACGAGACTGGTTCCATAAACTGGTCGACGGCCATGGCGTTTCGATTCGAAGTAAAGACACCGTTCCAATTCCGCCATCCTGCGTTTTCTGGCGTCGTTCTCCAATGCCTCGAGCGTTGACTGCACCGTAGACCCGTCGAACATCATTTGCCAATTCGTGCGCTTGTACTGACGTTCTCGGAGCATGTTGAAGGGTCCGTAAGCCATTAGCCTAGTACTATCGTCTGCCAACCTTCGCGAGATATCTTCTCTAGAGATAGGAACCAGGTTGAGAAAGTCCAAATCCAGCTTCGTGAGGGGATGTTCATATAGCAACCGCCGCCGAACGAGTAGTTCCTTGCTTGCATATTCAGTGGCCACGGAGTGAGGCATCACAAATGACGTCGATATCTGCCGAGTCTCAAAGAGATCCGGGTGGTTGCAAACCTTGCGCAGCTGCATCAGACAGTTGATAATAGAGAGGTAATTGCCTGATGCAAGCGTTTCTTTGGTTTGGGCCATGGACATAAACCCATCGTATAAGAACCTCTGCCTTTTCGAAAGTCGGCAATAAACAACGTGCTCGTACTTTGCTGGCATCTGCTTCTCGACGTCGGCTTTGAGACGGCGCAAGATGTAAGGACGCAAGATAGTATGGAGTTTCGTAACCACTCGTTTCGTCTCATCATCCATTGTTTCTCTGCCATGCTCCAAGATTTGCTCTACGGGGCGGCGGAACCATTCAGAAAAGTTTCTAAGATCCGCAAATCCCTCAATGCCAGTCCCGTCACCGTCAGAAGGCATCAAGAAGAAGAGAAGAGACCATAGTTCCGTGAGATTGTTCTGGAGCGGTGTACCTGTAAGAAGCAGCCGTGCGCGGGTCCTAAAAGTAAGCAATGTCTGCCACTTTTGAGAGCGGAAGTTCTTGATATTATGAGCTTCATCAAGAACCATATAATGCCAATTTCTTCTTTTCAAGACCTGCTGGTCCTGTAGCACCAGTTGATAAGAAGTGATCAATACATTCCAGCTCGTATCGTCGGTCCAACCCTTGCGCTTCTGTCTGCGTTCCTCTATGCTGCCGTAGTAAGTCATGATCTTGAAACCGGGACACCATTTCTTGAATTCCATCTCCCAATTGAGAATCACGCTCGTTGGGACGACAACCAGATGTGGACCCCAAACCTCATGTTCCACGGCCAGGTGCGCAAGCAAAGCAATCGTCTGAATAGTCTTGCCAAGACCCATTTCATCGGCAAGAATACCGTTGATGTGGTTGTTATAGAGTCCGGCAAGCCAATCTAACCCATAATGCTGATACTCTCGCAGAGTTCCACGGAGTAGATGCGGTATCGGCGTCTTCAACCCAGGAGCGGGAGATTCACTTGGCTGAGGCGGCTTTTCACCGGGCGCTTCGAAAGAAGAAACAGACTCGGGTTCAGAGGGTTTTGTTGCAAGCGTACCAGGAGATGCTTCGCTAGATGCCCCTCCATTCTGGCGAAGTTCTCGCTCATCCAAGTTATTGATCGAAGGGGGAGACTGCTGGTGATGACCTTCTTCCATCGCATCATCCGGTGTGTCGATAGCAACCGGATCTTCCGGAGGAGCAGCAGCAGTCATGTCGGCATCGATCACTTCAGCCTGTCCAGCTTGCTTTCCATCAGAAGTGTCGCTTACAGGAGAAACTTCGGCCGTCGCCTGAGAGATAGATCCCGAGTTTGAAGGACCATTCGGAACCAGAGAAACTTCGTCTGCATCCTCCAGTTCCTCATCGTCGTCCTCGTCGGCTGAAACTGATTGCCCATCATCGTCGAACCCAGTGCCATCTTCGTGACTCAGATTAGCTAAAGAATCATCCCCTTCTTCATCGTCAAAGTGGTGAGCATCACTCAGCCCACGATCTTTTGATGAGAAGAATCCTAATAGTCCCGGTCCATCGTCGCTTCCCTCATCCGAGTCTGTGTCGTCGGCATCTCCATCCTCATCACTATCGCCCATATCATCATCCATGTCCGTAGATTCGTCTTCGCTATCATCAAGGAGGATTGGATCGATTTCGTCCAGTTCAATCTGCTCCAGCGGCGTTCCGCCCTGAGAATCATTGATGTCCTCCAATTTCTGAGGTATATGTGAGGTATGTGTGCCATCGGAAGACTCGCTATTGTCGGAAGCCACAGATTCACGGTCTGAAACCAAGGTGGATTGGGGCAAATCAGCATACTTCTGCCGGAGCTCCTCCGCCGTCAACCCCTCATCATCGTCAACTTCGTCTTCATCCTCAGTTTCCGAATCCGCAGAGGACATGTTGCTTTCATCATCTTCCTCATTACTGGAAGTCACATCCGTTCCAGTCTCTTCGGCGTCCGTTGAATCAGGGAAATCACTGCCAGTCTCTCCAAGAATTTCCAGACGCCTTTTCTCGAACAGCATCGTAGATTGCTTGATTGCGCGATCTAAGGCCCGCTGGTCCTCCACTTTCCGCTCTTCCTCCCAGCGTGCTAGACGCACCCGATCAACCTCCGCCCGGGCCAAGTCGAACATTTTCTGAAGATCCTTAGCCAGTTGCTTGCGCTTTACGCGCACCTCTTCCTGTTGCTCTCTGAGGATATCTTCTGGGCGCTTGTTGCGCTTCCTCCACGCGTCAGCACACCACTGAGCAAGTAGCCTTGCTGTATTGCGATGGCGGCGGTGCTCCTGGTCAAGAAGCTTCTTGAAGTACAAGACATGAGCGACGAGGTGGTCTTGATGTGAATATTGTTGCGCTGGTTCTTCCTGTTGCTCCGGTAAGTATGCAGAACATACCTCGGGGCTCAGAAGACCGCCAGGCTCTGCGGCTTCCAAAACTCGACATCTCTTCCGAGCTTCTTCGAGTGCTGCCTCGGGCGTAAGGACCGCACCATCTTCTATTCTACCTTCCCGGCTCTCAAGCCATTCCCTGAAAGAATTATATTTCCGCGGAGGAACCACATGAGAAGGATGCTGGAACCCAATAACAGGCTTCTTGACTTTAATTCGCAGCCTCGGCACCCGATGACCCTGTTCGTCTCCTAGCTCAGTCTCATCCCCGATATCATTCCTCGACTCATCAATTCCGATTATTGACGTTGAAGTGGTATTCGAGGGTGATCGGTTCGATCGTGCCTTGTTCGAAATAGGGCCATTAGGGACTGAAGTACTTAAACTTTGAGATCTCGTCCGTGAGTGAGTTTGCCTGGGTGCTGGTGATCGTGAGATAAGGCGTCGCCTGGCACTTGCGCCCCTCGGAGTCGCAGTCCTCGGCGATGCCGTCGTTAAGTTGCCACTGGTATGTTTCCCATTCATACCCGACTGTGACACACTCGTGGACAGCGGCGACGAAGCGACGACCTTCCCACCACCGGAAATATTCTTATTTACGGTAGATTTCTGCGCTGCACGCGTTTTTCGCTTGTCTGACGGAGGCTGCAACTCAAGGGGAATCGCATTGACTCGGGAAGACCTCCGCTTCCCATCCTGCAGGAATGAGGTCGGCCCATCAACACCCGGTTTCTTCCAGGGAGGCGATGGTGGTCGAGGTGTTGAACGGCGCGAATTGTCTGGTCCTGCAAGCTTTCGTCTCTTGGACGGAGGCCCCTCGGTCGGATCGGTTGGGACTCCATTTTCCTTGGACTCGGCTGGGATTAAATCGCGATTCGCGTAATTAGGTGGATCATCTAGAGCAGGGGTATTCAATGATTTGTCTTCTTTCTCAAGAGTCACGCGTTCATCGTTGTGGTGTGATAGACCATTCAAGCTTCCGTCTTGCATGTCTTGTTACCACGGACGACAGGGGCCCTCTTTGCGGCTGACCCCAGTTTTCCCAACGAGGACGAGGTCGGACGGGATATATTTAACATCAATAGATAGGTATGAACTGGTAGAGATGCCACAGAAAGTTTGGCATAGTTATCGGCACGATAGCGTGGCTGGCAGTTGAAAAAGCACCTTGATCGACAAAATGTATGAAGGAGTGGTTTTTTCATCTGGTGACGAAGAGTACGAGGAGACGTGTATGTAAGCGCGCTGGGGGCTCTGGCAGCTGGTTGCCTGAGGCAGTAAGGCTCTTTCACTATCGCTTCCGCAAACCTCCAATTAATCCGAACCCCGTCATTGCACTTCCACTCCCTTTGAGCGAGCATATTTGCCCTTCCTTTACTCCCAAACTCACCAATTCGGCGTTTGAACACAGCAAAACGGTAAGAGCCCATCTCCGAGTCTACCTCAATGTCGAATTTTACGTCCCTTTAACCGTCGTTAACAGTCGCACGCAGATGCTGTCCTCGCGGATTTTGACCCGGCGCCTGCCCCAGGTTGCTGCTCGTTTTACCGCTCCGCGCGCCTCATTTTCACAAATCCGGAGACTTTCTGCAGCTGAGATTGATGACCCTTTGCAGGTATGTCGTTTATCGTGTCCGGGGTGCTGGATCTTTCCCCAATTGACACCTGCGGTCCGCTTCTAGAACGGAGGTTATCAGAATCCCCCTCGTGTGAAGCGTGCTCTCAGAGACCCCTACGGCGACTGGTGGGATAAGCAGGAGAGAAGGAACTTCGGCGAGCCCGTTCACGAGGAGAATGAAATTCTCGGCGTCTTCAGTCCCGAGCAATATAACCATGTCACACCCCGCAAAGGCCTGTTCCAGATTGGAGCTTTCATCGCAACCTTCCTTACTCTCTGCGGCGTCGTGAGCCTGTACTACCCTGACAAGCCCAGCGTCCCAAAAACTTATCCCGGCGGCTTGGAGAAGGAGCTTGGCGGTGCGAGTGCTCTTCCAGTACGTTTATGAACCCTGTCTTCGCACTGGTGGCATGAGAATCATACTGACATTGATATGCAGGCTCGCAAGGCCGGTGAGGACTCTTGGTAGTGGTTTGATTTCTTGTTGTGTAAATACTACGGTGCAGTTTTTCTTTTACGGTTTCAATCAAAGGTCTGATTGTCAATTCATATAAGTGTGGAAGGACAATTTATGTGCCTCTATCGTTGCGGGATGCATCAACTTCTCATACTGCCAGCATTTAAGTGCTGGGGTTCTTTGTCCTATGTTGGATAGGACATCTTTGCTATGTCGATGTCGATCATGGCTTTGCAGTTGCCCATAATGTAGCACGTCCTGAACCAAAGCAGACCAAGACTGCAGCGGATTTGCCATCGAAGGAGCAGGACAATAGATGGAGACCAGGTTCTTAGCGCGTCAAGCTAGTCCAGAGGCCTCGTCAACTTCTCTCCACTGATAACACTCTAACCGGAATAAAGAGCAGATAGACCGCTGGGGAACATCATACTGAATGATGTACCTAGGGCAGAGTATTGCATGTACTATTATAGCCGCGTTCATATTATGTGCACCTCAACAATTCACATAGAGTGATTCAATAAGCGGTCAATAATAAGCATTGTAGGAAATCAGAAATACTTAGCTCGCGAGTGAGGCCGGCGCTTTGCTGAGTGGTGCGACCCTGATCGAGGCTCTTGGGCAGAAGGGCTACGCTACTGTAACTACGTCAGTTTATCGGGAAGCTTTGTTTCAGGTGCAACAAAACATTCTCCCGCACCCCTTTCTTAAACAAACCCATCTTGGTTCTTGAAGGGTCAATCCCTCACTCCCATCCCGCATTCCTGATTCTGCGAATCGATTCTTCATTTCGCGGTTTATGAAAGTTGATTTGACAGTACGCGCTGGCTAGTGGTTTGGTCGTGAATCCTCTAATCCATGGTCTCCGCACCTTCCCCTCTCCTTGAGTGCAGTTGAATTGTGAAATAGCGAGAGAGGGAGAGAGAGAGAGAAAATCTCCTCATGTCGACATCATCCACTCAGTCCCGAGGCATAAACCGACGGATTAACAGTCTTCAAAATGAAGTTCGTCATTCCCGCAATCTGTCCGCATCGCGCAGGCGCCCGGTGAACTCTTCGGCCGCCTACAGTTATGCTCTACGGGTCGCGTATATCACCTATCTTTTGAATCCTCGTTCTCGCCGGATACAGAATGTCTCTGCCGCTTCACAGTCGCGTCCGAAACGGGCGTCAACCTCCTTCCATGATTTGATGAGCGATTTCTCGCTAGTTAGAGATTCGAAGAGCACGAGGTTCCCAAATGGCTTCGTGTCTGAGCTTGAGAAGAGGTTAACGGGAGTTCTTATGGGGAAGGAGAGAAGGAAGGAATATCAAGATCACCTGGTCGTGAGGACATTCGCCGCGTTTCTCAACACTTTGAAAGATCAGTCGTTCAAGAAGCGGATGGAGAAGGATCGCCGAGCGGAGGATCTCGTCCTTATTTTCTACTCAAATGCGACAAAAGAGCTGAGTAAGGGGAAAGATTCAGATGACGATAGTTGGAAATTTATGGTGGACAGACATGTCGCCCTTTTCGTTCGGCTGTTTGCGCTGATCCTGAAAGACCATGACTGGGACAAGGATCGGCCCGAACTCGCAAACAGATTATCTGTTCTAGAGAACAAACTTCTTTCCCAAGATCATGATCTTATGCAAGCGAGCGGACCGACGGCGACGGTTGATACGACAACATCTCTCAGCTACGATGTTAGAGACATGCCCCTCGTGCAGCATGTCGCGAAGATATTTGGCATAAGTACCCACCAGGTCCAATCCGACATTGACAAGAACAGAGGCGTATGGACCGAAAAGGCAGCTCTTCAGGACTTGAAAACTTATCAGGCTCACCTGAACCTCCAGACGCGGAAGACGCTATCCAGGGAAGATTTTGATAACGAGGAAGCTTATGAACACTGGAAGAAGAGTGAGGGTCCGGATTTGTCGCAAATGATGCTGGCTATCGTACAGTCAAATCCGGAGCTCGCCAAAAGTACCCCAGGCGGTGCACTTCCGCAGTTCAATGCGAATGCCGCTGACCAGAGCAACGATCCAAACGCTGGACCGCTAACTCGAACAATGTCTGACCGGCCGGTCTCCTACGTGATTGACCAATCTATCGACCTGAGTTCTCTGTCGTTGTCTGACGACCCAAATAATAATTCTGAGGAATCTGATACGTATACCTTCATACCGTCAGATCCAAGGTCAATGTACAAATTCATTCTAGGTCTGACACTGAGTCACGACCTGAAGGATCGCGAGATCGAAGCTACGGCAGCTACTTCGGAATCACCGTCAATGAAACTCCTCTCCAAACAATCCACAGAATTGCTGAATGAAGTATGCCTTCGCTGGCGAATACCGAGCTTTTCTAGGGTTGTATTGTTCCTGGACATCATAAGAACAAAGTTCGTGGACAACGAGATTGATCTTGACACCCTTGATTCTGCCTTTACGTTTGTTAAAGAAACACATCCGTCAGAGGGCAAAAAACGACAAAGTTTTATGGCCTCTGTTGTATTTGACAGGAGCAAATGGACAATCCAGGATCTTCTGTCGATGCAAGAGCTGCTATCCTCCCTCCATGAAGCTTTACTCCGGGAACTGTACGATGTAATGATGGATTGTTTTGAAGCTAAGCCGCGTCCTATTGGCCCGGTGATGTACGTCTTGGAGAACCACATACAGCTCGACCCGAACTACACCGAAGACTTGGAAGATATCGATCGGTTCCGCTCCTATGTGCAGGACGGCCTCGCGCAAAAGGCAACTGAGAAGTACCAAGAACTTTTAGGACAGATTGTCCCAGTGGAGGCAGAAACCTGGGAGCCACACCACGTCATCCAGCTCGGCGATGCCATCATGAAACTTGCACAGAAGATACGGAAGCGATATCGAAATAATCCCGAAATTATGGGGTAAGAGGCTAATCCTCAGTAGCGCACGCTTCGTGACTGACAGATCTTAGGGTAAATCCCTATAACATTCTACTTACAAATATCCTCCCTATATTTGCGGAAGACGCCCACGAGATGGTCGTCAGAATTGTGGAACAAGCCAAATCGAGAGGGGAGGATGTTGAGCTGGAAGATGGCTTTGACTTGTATAAACAACTGACAGCAACGCGGCGGCTCTTCGTAGAGGCCTTTCCTGAGTAAGAACTGCGTTCGTCGTTATGGTGTATTTGTTCTGACGCTGAGACAGTGTCACTTTCCCTTTCCACGTGGAAAGTCTTCTGGAAGACTTTGTATGGCGCTGGATTCGCTTAACTGATCAGAAAGTCATGGACTGGATTGAACAGGCAGTTAGACAAGATTCCTTCACTGTCCGGGCTGGTGACTGGACAGATGTTGTTCCTGAAGACTACCGACACAGCGTGTCGGTGATCGACATATTCCGCTCTTTCAATCAAGTGATTGAGCAGATGATTCAACTTGGGTGGGACGATGACTTGCAGTACGCAAAATTTATGACTGCCCTTTCTAAGTCTATTGGGAAGGGTGTGGCACGATACTGCGAATTGTTGGAACAAATGTTTTCCAGAGAAATGGATCGGCTGTCTCCAGATCAAGAGGCAGCCATGAATCAAACTACGCAGGAAAAGATAATGCAAATGGCGAAGGAAGCATGGACAAGCAAGGAAAAAATTGAGCCTTTCCAATTTCTTCCGGAGGTAAGCTTGCGTTATCATTCAAAGTGCGTCGCCAGGTCCCGGGTATCTGACCAAAAATTACAGTCTCTCGTCAAACTGAATAATATCGAATATGCCCTCTCGCAACTCGACAGGCTTGAGCGTGAGATCAATGTCGACGGATGTGCGGAAGTGATTGCACAACATGCGGGCCCGCAGCTACAGAAAATCCGCAGATCAACAACCTACGTTTTCACGATAAAGGTCGTGGAAGCCGAAGATCTCAAAGCCTGTGACATGAATGGCAGCAGTGATCCTTATGTTGTTCTCACAGATGAGTATCAGAAGCGAATTGCGAAGACTCGAATCATCTACAACAACCTGAACCCACGATGGGATGATGCTGTCGACATAACAACACAAGGACCGCTAAATATCATTGCGACCATCTGGGACTGGGATGCAGTTGGTGATCACGACTATGTCGGTCGCACTTCGATCAAACTCGATCCCGTGCATTTCAGTGATTTTCTTCCGAGGGAGTACTGGCTTGATCTAGACACCCAGGGCAGGTTGTTACTTCGTGTCAGCATGGAAGGGGAGCGCGATGACATCCAGTTCTATTTCGGCAAAGCGTTTCGGACATTAAAACGTACCGAAAGAGATATGACTCGCAAAATCACCGAAAAGGTAGGTCATTCTCCCATAGCCGACTGACTTGTCTTCAGGACATTGACCATTCTTCCAGCTTTCTGCGTACATCAGTCATTGCTTGTCTCGACGAACTCTCAAATCCCTGTTGTCTAGAGGTCTCAGCATCTCTAGTGTGTCTAACTTCCTGAGCCGAAATCGTCCGCAATATGCTACAACAACTCCATCCGCTATAGAAGTGGAGAATGCACTCAAACCGCTTTTTGACTATTTCAACGATAATTTTGCAATCATGAACAAAACTCTTACGTCTGAAGCAATGAAGATGGTCATGGCGCGTCTGTGGAAAGAGGTTCTTGCCACCATCGAAGGCTTGCTGGTTCCTCCGTTGTCGGATAAACCTTCTCATCAAAAACCTCTTACGATGCAAGAAGTTGACATTGTGTCGCGTTGGCTTGTACTTCTCTTGAATTTCTTCCATGCTGTTGATGAGGAAACTGGTGAAGCCCACGGCGTCTCTCTCGATGTTCTGAAATCACCCAAGTACCACGAGATCCAGACCCTGAACTTTTTCTATTTTGAACCCACAGAGAGCTTGATCCGTACTTCTGAACGCATGGCATCAGCGACGATATCACGGCAGCAAGTGCATAAGAACCGAGCCTCAGCGCCACCACATATCGGATCTGGGGGAGCTGGCAGTATCCTTGGGGTGCCGAACACGCGACGAGTCAAGAGCATCATGCTGTCGCGGAATCTTGGGACAATGAAGAAAATGAAAGAGGAGAGAAGGCGTGAGGCTCAGGCAGAACCAAATGATGATATGATTTTACGGATTCTCCGTATGAGACCAGAAGCCGCTGGATATCTACGTGATCGAAGCCGTCAAAAGGAAAGGCTCGCAGCGGCTGCTGCTGCGGATGCTATCGTGAAGCAAAGTCTTATGGCAGGTATGGGTGGAAGAATGACGGGCACTCTTGGACGAAGATAACTTGGGAGGGGTGCTGGCATGATCGTGCTATTACTGATCACCTTTTTGTTGCGCTTCTCGTTTCGTCTGCAGTTCTGCATTTTAGCATCATTCGACCACATGAAGTTTATGATTCCCAATTTTTGCTTGCTTGACGAGTTTCAAATGCAATTTACATTTATTTCGCGGGATTGAGGGTGTTGAATATGAAACCTAGACAGCAAACATATAACGAATATCTAATTGTTAATGAGAATGAAATTCACGGACAATTGGGGCTATTATCCCATCATGGTCGATATTCACTCGTCCCTCATTGCGGACAAATTCGTCCATATATATCGACGGCCTTTTTCTAATGAGATAATCTAGTTTACTGCAGAGCAATGCACTCAATCTCGACCGGCACCCCCTTGGGCAGTTGAGCAACAGCAACACAGCTACGAGCAGGCTTGTGGGTGAAGAACTTCTCATAAGTAGCGTTCATCTCGGCGAAGTCGGCCATATTAGTGAGAAAGACCTGTGACCGGACAATCGCAGAGTCAGCATCAACCCCACATTCTCCGCAATCGTTGAATCAAGAGGAATAACGCAAATGGTAATAACGCACATTGACCTTGACGATCTTGTCGACGCTGGATCCGGCAGCGTCCAGAATGGCCTTGATGTTGTTGCAGCAGGCCTGTGTCTTTTCGCCGATGTTGCCCTCGACGAGGTTGCCGCTAGCGTCAGCGGGGATCTGGCCGGAGATGAAGAGCTGCCCGTTGGCACGGATAGCTTGGGACTAAGTCATTTGGCGAAGGGTCAATTGATGTGCCTTGGATTCATGGGAATCGGTATGGGGGCGTAGATTCTAGTCCCGGACTTTCGAATTTGGGGTCGGGTGTAGTACTTACGTAGGGACCGGCAGCTACAGTAGCGATCAATTGATTAGTGAACTTGCTCTCATTTCATTTTCTACACCGGGCCCGTAACCCGGAGGGTCAATGGTGAATCAGACTCACGAGGGCAGGCATCCTTTGTGAAGACGGGAGTCATGCCAGACATGTTGACGGATTGGCAGTGAAATGGGGTCGGGTAGGTGCGTGTAATAGGGTAATGAGCAGAAAATCGAGGAGCTAAGGTTATAAGACGAGGTAGAGATGAGGAGTGGTATGGGGAGAGAAGACGAGAGCTGCTTTTAAGCATGGGGGGCGGAGGGGTTGTGAGAGGTTACTGTCTATCTATTCCGCGGGAAAGTTGTTGATGGTTCGCTCCCCCACTAACATTCCCCACCAAATAATGACATAAGAAAGGCGCATCTAGATTATCGAAGGACCACTTAGTACCGCTTGAATTATATGCCAGGTTAAAATGATTCCTAACGCTAAGGAGAAGAAGTCAAATAGTATGTAAGCTAGTATACAAAGTCATCACATGCAAATCATGACGTCGTGAGGATTAGTAGTGACTGCCGCATTGGCAAGGTAGACCGAATGCTTCTGATGCGTATTTCGAGACAGCTACCGAGATCTTTCGGAATTATGATGGCTTCCTTGGCACTGTATTGCCCAATTCGTGCAGAAATGATGCTGTTTGCTCCGGAGAGAACCCAAAGAAAACCGGTCCATTGAAGACCACTTTTGCGGACGAAGTTGGGTTGATTTGGCCAGTTTGGAAATACCCCTCCGCGCTGTCTTCGCGAGGGGGCCGAGGGGTGTCAGGCACTTCGCTCTTGCTTGCTTCGCTACGAACGGTTTCGATCTGCAGATCGTGCCTTGAGTCGTCCGCTTTGGGAGCATCATGGCCGAAAGGACACCGACCAGTTCTCATGCCAGAAGAAGAAAATTTGGCAGGGTCCGCAGTGGCAGGAAGGTCAGATGGTTCTTTCAATGGCTCTTTGGCAGAGTCTGAGGGCGGAGTAGGCGGCGAGTGCATGGCAGATGTGAAAGACGGTTGGGGAACTGGAATCGGTATTCCCCAAGGCCTGCTTGGGGACTCGCCAACACGCACCTCGCGCAAAGGACGGTCGAAATGTGCTTTTCTCTCATCATCGCCGGTGTCTGGTGCTTCTTGTTCATCGGCAGAGCTGGGTGATTCTTGTTCAGGCGATTTCATTCCAACGTCTTCTGCCCATTTTTCAACTCGTTCAGCAGATGAACTGGATGCTGCCATGCCGTCCTGGCTATGGCCTGGCAGGAACGCTTGATGTTTGACTGACAAGCCTTGGATCATATTGATAAGATTACCATACTTCGCGTCAAGTTGCCGCATCGTTTGAGAATCTTTCTGGTAACGTTGAACGCATATTGCATGGCTGCGCGGGATCTCATGCTTGTGTCTCTCGACATAGTCGGCAATTTCCTCAGGACTATGCTTGTCCATGAATCTGATTGGACACCTAGAAACAGGGCATCTGGTTGAACTCGACTTTGCAGATGTCGTTAAACTAGAGCGTCTATCATTCTGTTCAGCTTTAATGGGATCGAGGTCCTCGTGCCCGCACGTATCACCGTTCTGGGTAGCAAAGGCATCCTCAGTCCCGTTAGACTCCCCATTTTCAGAGGGCTTATTGTTAGGCTTCGAAAAGGGACAACGCAAACTTCCCTGCGTGCCCTTGGTGGTGAAGTCTTTTTCTAGGTTGCCTGATACGCCAGCTCTGGTCGCAACATAACATGAATTGAGTTCGGGAAGCTGCTTATCATTGTCGGGGCGGTTTATTGATCTGCAGCATTCCAGTCCTTCCTTTATGGCAGTAAGTGCCTCGCTTCCTACGTTTCCAGAGTCTGCCAGTGCCTTGATTACATCCAGGGGATTTAGGGATTGGTTATGAAGGGGTTCGTTTCCGGGATGTCGACCAAGTAACTTCTCCGCGACGATCCTGGTGTGTGAATTGGTTTCATTAGGAAGTTGATCTGCTAACTTGAGGTACTATTGCACATGATGTCAGTATGCGTGTGATTTGGAACGGTGCAATCAACAACAGAGGTTATTCAAAAGTCTCATCAGATAATACATGACTTTATCCGTCACCGCCGCAGAAGCGACTCCTGATCTAGAGCTAATCGATTTTCTCGTCATTTGAGACAACAGGAGAGGGGTATTGGTAATAAGAATGCAGGTGGGAATTGGAATTTACCTCATCATGTGCATATTTCAGCCTCCGGTGCAGATCTCTTTCCTTGCAGCCTAGGTGTTGAATGGTAAGCAAGAGAGCTTCGAAAGATCGAGCTAGAGTTTGCAGCTGCAGATCCTGCTGCATTTCATTGACAGCATAGGCGGATGACATATTGCTTTGAGCGACGATTTTACTAAGTATGAGACAGTACACCTAACGGTCTCATGTAGCACATTCTGCTTGATTCAGAAGCGCGGCTTGGAAAATTATAAAGGAGATCAGTGAGAAGGAGAAAGAAAACGTGGTTTTTGTACTGATGCCTGAAGCTGTTTTAGCGTACATCTAAGCGAACTGGTCCGTGCATTTATGTCACGTGGCATCTGCTCGCTCAGCAATTGTCCAAGGTGGCGAACTACCTGACAAGTATGCTATCGTACCTCGTCTGTGGTTCGCTCAATACCATCTGTATGATTTGCTCTTTGGCAAATTCTGTTCATGATGTCTCTACGTGATGCGTTCTCTGTATGCTTCTTGGAGTCTGTGTTGTACTTGCCCGTACCGTAATCGAAGGATGCTATGTGCTTGCTGATACCGAACAATTGTCGTTTGGATGTGATGCTAAATGCCAGTGAGATCTAACGCTTATCCAAGCGCTACTTTATCTCGTAGCATTTTTAGGCTTGTCATTACCCATTTATGCTATGGCCGATTCGATGTTTCCAAGGAATGTTGGAGACAAGCAACAAAACCATGCGAATATATATCGTTCAGCATGTCCCATACGTAACCAATTAGTATCGCGTTGAGCGGGCAATGTTTCTCGGAATCATACGGTACGAAATACAAGGCAGTGGACAAGCTATTACACCTTGGTTGAATATCCTCCAACCCCCATCCCATAGGGCAAAGATGGTATAGTAAATGGTCGAGATCAGCCGTGTTTGCGCTGCTGACTTTCCTCTTGGTTTATGTATTCAAATTTCTCGCTAGCTCTCATTAAAGCGGCAGCCGGGCTAGCTCAATCGGTAGAGCGTGAGACTCTTAATCTCAAGGTTGCGGGTTCGACCCCCGCGTTCGGCTTTCATTTTTGCTTTTTGTTGATGTATATTGTGCCTGTCTTATAAGGCAATAAATCTGCCTGCCGCACTACAGCAGCAGCCGGGCTAGCTCAATCGGTAGAGCGTGAGACTCTTAATCTCAAGGCTGCGGGTTCGACCCCCGCGTTCGGCTTCGTTTTTTGTTTTCCTTTTTTTGGCAAGTCCATATCATGGACATCCTTTGACCGTTATTAATCCCATCCCACCCCTCTCCCCCTCTGTCGATTCGGATTACCCTGAACCCGTCAATGGGGTAATTTTCAAGGAGTGGCAGGCATTCGACAATTCAGAGAGCAGTCAAGGCCGGCTGCCCTCGCGTCGTCAAGCCACCACCAGGCTGGAGTAGGATATATGGAGGAGATGTGGCTTGAGGATCTCAAATGACAACAGAGGCCCCAGATGACAGTAACTCAATGAAGCTGATAACTCAGTATGGCTTCTAATCCCACAGTCCATGGCTCGACAACCGTAACACGTAGGGTAGTTTTGTGCACTGGTCACATGTTCCTCCTAGAACATTTTAGCCGCAATCCAACCACTAAAGCAGCAGCCGGGCTAGCTCAATCGGTAGAGCGTGAGACTCTTAATCTCAAGGTTGCGGGTTCGACCCCCGCGTTCGGCTATCTTTTTTGCCTGATTCAGTCCAGCTTAATCCGTCCCCCGGAGCAAATTGGACCAAGTTAGAGAGTAGGGTAGGGGGTAGAGGGCTATTTATGCGGTCTTTGCGCCAGCCCCTGACGTGCGATGCTGCCCAGTTTGGGTACCCTACTCCGTCGCCCAGGTATCAACCAAAGCGTGCCAAATGAATCAACACCATGCATGAAGACAGGGAGGAAACAGAAATAACCCAGTCGACGTTGAAGTAACAAAGGTCTGATCTCAATCAGTGTTCCGAACATCGGATTGCCTGTGATACGGCTGCAACTCAGAGCCCCATGTACGCCACACATGAGTAGTGTGCACCGGACTCAAAAAATGCATGGTGGCTGCAGCCGCTGCAGGGCGGGGACATTGCTGTAACCATAAGCCTGTAAGTACGAGGTATGTAGCAGGGTAGCACAGCGACAGGCTTCACGGATGTCAAGTACCAGGCAGGTACAGGACTCTTTGCGGAATGTTTACTTCTACCATCTTTTCTCCTGAATTATCCAAATGATATGGACTATTATTGTTGTTATGAGGCGAGGCATATGCGGACCTGCGGATCCTTGCACAGGCTTACTACCTAGTAATCGATTGTAAAGGGTTAAGCACATGTACGAAGTTCCTCTTCATTAATGGAATACCAGTAGGAGGTATCCGGTTGCATATGATAGTCAGGTATCCCTGCCATTCTAACTACATCCTGACGGGAGCCGAGATTGGCAGAAGTGTGCTGGCTTCCTGAAGTGGTCTGGCGAGGAGACTAGACTCCGTAGTGCGAAAACGACAGGAGGTAGTCCATTCGGGTAAGCCGAGCGTTGCACGATGGATGATGAACCCTTGCTAGACGCTAAGACGGGTGTTCAGCGGATATTAAGCCATTAATCTTGAGATATTCGCCCGGTATAATTGGAGTGGAAGTGGACAAGCTGTGTAAAAACTCTCCTTGTCAGCACACGAGCCCGATCTGAGCTGCAAGCCACAAGTTGTATGATACCAATGGGGTGCGACTCCTTGACGAATTTATGTCCTCCCTTCTCATGCTTTGCGGATGCCACTATGGCCCTTAGGCCTGCGACATCATATTTACCTTTAACCGGGTCATGTATGATATGCATCCGCTTGCCAAACCGTGTATCACTTTATCATGCAAATTTGAATGCAGACAATATGGAGATGATGAAGAGAGAGACAGTATTGATGAAGCACGA